GAAATGGGGAGGAGAGACGGTTGTGCAGCGGTGTGAATGCACTTACCTGCCGTTGAAATGTACTCTTAGAAATGGTTAAAATGGTAAATTTTATGTTGTATGCATTTTACCACAATAATAATAATAGAAAGGACTAGCTAAAGATAGGGAAAAAAAAAACACCCTTCTGCTCAGGATCGTATGTAATGCTAGAGTCAGAGACTCAAGTGGTTCTCAGTTTTGGCTGGGGCAAGGCGGTTCTGTCCAGCCCCAGGGTCAGGCGGACGTGGGGAGCTCCTCAGAAGGGCTGGGCAAGTTTAGGAGCTTGGGGTTTGATGTTATCAGGGCCGACAACTTGAGGCCCTGAGGATGGGAGTGTCACCCAGTTGGGGACCAGGTCTCACTGCTTGCACATTGGTGAGGTGATGGGGGCCGTGCCAGGTGGGCGCCTGGGTTTCCTCTTGCTCTGCAAAGAGCATTGCCTGAAGCCCACAGACCAAGATTTCACCTGCAGCGTGCCCCTTCCCAGCTGATTGACCTGCAACAAGTGTCATGATCTCTTCTAGCCTCCGTTTTTTTTTCATCTGTAAAACGGAAACAATATTACTGACTCTGCAGGATGGGAAAGGCTCAGAGAGACAGGCATATGGCAGGATTGACCCCGGCACCCGGCATGTAGAAGGTTCTCAGCGGTGGCGGTGATTTTGACCACTAGTAGTTGCAGGCGCCTCCCTTCCTCGGGTCAGAGTGTCCTGCATCTTCCCACAAGTGCTTAGTGTGCAGCTACTATGTGCTGGGACAGTGTGATGAACGAGAGTATTCTCTGCTCTCAGGGCCCTTGTTTTCTAGCAGGGGAAACAGATTACCGACAAGGAAACAGACACCTGTTTAATTGCAAATTGCAATTGTGTGTGTGTGTGTGTGTGTGTATGACTTAAGGGAGCCAGGGAGGGCCTCTCTGTGGTGGTGGCATTGGAAGCCAAAGCCAGAAGGCTGGGAGGGAACAGCATATGCAGAGGCCCTGAGGAAGAACAGAGCTAGGTGTGCTCGAAGGACTGGGAAGAGCCCACCCTTATGTGTGGCTTTAGGTCCTGGGCAAGGGACGGACATGGAGTGCTGGTGGAGAGAAGGACAGGGCCCAGGTCAAGCAGGGAGCCCTTGCCTGCCTGGCTGCAGTCTGATGCATTCAACCTCGTGACCTGGGGGAGTCTCCAAGGGTGTGTCCCGTTTTTGGCATTGTGTCTAGGGACCTTTGAAATTCAGAAGATGTTAGCGGGTGGGGGACTGATGAATGCCAGGCATTGGTAACTCACCCCCCAGCTGCACCCCCAGCTCTCTACCTTGCAGGCTCCAGAGCCAGATTGCCCTTCCGCAATGGCCTTGGACAAGTCATCACCTTTTCTGTGCTTTCCTTTCTTCATCTGTGAAATGGGGATAAGAAGTCTCTGCCCCAAACATTTTGAGAGCTTAAGACAGTAGCAGACCGAAAGCCACATTCCAGGGGCTGTTGCCCTGGTCGTTGGATAGAGCTGTAGGGACACTAGTGTTTACGAGAGCATCAGCATGGCCGAGAGGACAGGAGCGCATCTCCGTTGGGAGCCTGCCTGCTGGGTTCACAGCAGGATCGCTTATCGACCTCCCCACGCCTCAGCCTCCTGGGCCATAAAACGGGATGTTGAGGGTTGTTGTAGGGATGAAATGAGGGAACTTAGGCTGAGTGGCATATGGCAAGTGTGACGGGGGCACCTGCCGTTGCTTCTACTTTGACTGTTGCATTTTTCCAAGGGCAGAGACTGAGCATCAGGCCTGCTCAGCCCGCACTGTGTAGATGGGTTTGTGGAGCTAGACCAGGGGAGGAGGCTTACCTGAGGCTGACCTCCTGGGCCTGAGCCCTGGAATCCCACACTGCCAGTGCCCGGGAAGCCAGTCTATGACAGGGCTGGGACCCAGAGCCCCTGCAGACAGCCCAAAGTCTGCCCCCTCTGCGGACAGAGGGTTCCTAGCTCGGGTCCCTATGGGGCAGGGGGAGTGGTCACTGCTGACACCGGGAGTGTGGGGCCATAGGGCATGGGCCACAGAGTGGCAGGGGGCCCTGGCTCTCCCTGGCACATTCCAGGCTCCTGAGAGGGTGGCCAGGGGCCAGGGTGCCGGAGGGAAGGAGAGAGCCTTTTAAGGAAACATTTCTCTGCTTACAAAAAAAAAGGGAGACAAGAGACATTGAAACACACAACAAAGTTAGTGGGCTGGCCGGCTGGCTGGCCTGGAATGCACAGCTGGGGGTGGCGGGTGGAGGAGCTGCTGGGGGGCAGCAGGTCCCGAGGGGCCCCCAGACCACAGGCCCCGCGGCCGAGGGTCCACCGCTCCTCTGCAGAGCTCAGGCCTTAGGGGCAGCTCTGCCTCAGGGGAACAGGGAAGCGACCTGGGGTCGGGACACCTGGACCCCCGTTCTTTCCACCACTGCCTTAGGTGGTTCTGGAAGAGAGGCCCTCCCACTGTTTCAGAGGACACTGTCCATTCTGCCCCTGCTTTAAATGGATCCATATCCTCTCCCCGGCCCCGTCAATCCCCAGACCCTGAATGGAGACTGGAAACCCCCTCGTGTCACGGCGTGGGAGACAGTGGCTGTAGATCAGACTTACCCAGGTCTGGAGGCTGTGGCCGGAGCCCGCAGCATCCCTCCCCCTGCAGTGTGGTCCTCCATTCAGGTTCCCAGCCCCGCCCGAGCCCCAGCTCCAGCTCTCAAGGAAGGAGCAGAGGAGGGTGCTGCCCTGTGGATTGCACCTGCTCCCACCCAGGGCCCGAGGGACCCATAAATGATAGAGTGGTGGCAGACACTAGGAGCCTGGCCCTGTGAGGTTGAAACCTATAGCCCCTGAATGGGGTTAGGGGCAGGAGGGGACGGGGAGGAGGCCACTGCTGGATGCAGGACTCCTGCCCCTCAGGTGCCTGGGGGTGGCAGTAGTGTCCCCCGTGGCTGAGACCTTGTCTAGTGGGCAGGGCAGGCAGGGAACCCTGCAGGCCACAGCCACCTCTGGGACCTTCCCTTCCTTCCCAGTCTGTTCTCCTGGCATCCTCCACCCCAGCCCAGGCTCTGTCTGCCCCAGAAACTTCTAAAACAGTCACTCATGGCTCCATGCTTGTGTGTATCAAGAACCCTGAGCTTGGGGGAGCATTTGCCCCCATGTTTCCTCGTTCTCTTGAACATAAGGGAGGAGTTTCCCTTCACATTTCATTTTGGGAATCAGAATGCCTAGGTTCAAATCTTCACCACTTATCAGCTCTGTGACCTTGGGCAAGGTGTTTAACCTCTCTGTGCCCCCCTGCACCTCAACCAAAGATGTAATAGTACCTACCTTATTGGGTTGTTGAAAAGATTAAATGAGTTAATATGGGTCAAGCATAGATAATAATGCCTGTCATTCCTATAGTCCGTATTCAATGAATGTTAGCTATTATTCCTTTCTTTTGGCCTCATATATGAGTCTCTCAATAGTCTCGGAGTAATGGTGAGTACAGGGCGGTGGATACCAAGACTCAACTCAGGCTTCTTTGCTGGAGAATGAGTTGGGGCAGGAAGCCCGTAACAGGACGGGAGCGAGAACCCAGGGATGCTAAACACCCAGCTTCTCTGCCCCTTCCAGAGCTCAGGGCACACCATCACGTGAGTCTTGTCCCCTTCTGGGCTGGTGTGTCAAGCCTGGGGATCCCTTGGGCTGGTTGGAGGACAGAACTGGGTCAGGTGGAGGGAGGGCCCGGCTGAGGGTGGCTTCCTGTGAGCAGCCAGCTCTAGCCGAGCATGGAGGCTGTCACCATCACCACTCCACTGGGGTGGTGGCCGGAGCAGGGGTTGCCCACTTTTTGAGGAGGCAGCAGCCCCCTCTTCAGCAATCCGGGGCTTGTGCCCACACACCCTTATGCCCGAGGGAGAGCCTCCCCCTAGTCCCCTCCGTGGGCCCCTTGGGTTGGGAACTGGAGCCAAGATTGAGGTATGAGCTCCAAGAAAAACGTGTCCCAGCTAGAAAAAAAGAACACACTGAGTCTCTGATAAAGGGCCCTGCTAATTGTCAGGGTAGTGGTTTGAAAAAAAGTCCTGGATGCGGGATGTTATCTCAGGGGAGGGAGAAATGCAGCCCTCCCTCCCCCCTCCCTCTGTCTGGAGGCCCTGTTACCAGTCCCCACCCTCCATCAGAGAGGAAGATGAGGATGGTGTTAAGAATAAAAACTTGCCCATAGAGAGGGTGCTTTCACCCCTCAAGGCTTTCTTTGGAAGAACTGGCAGGGGCCTTTCACCATCCTGCTTCCCACATGCTGTGGGGACCCCAGACTCTGTCTGCAGCTTTGGGTGAGATGTCCTGGCATTGGGGAGAACCTCCTTTCTCAGAGGTCTTAAACATGTTTTTAAAAAATGTAAAACAAATCTTAGCATATTGTAGGACATTTAGAACATAGAGCAGAGAAAAAAAAAATCCTTCTTCTTATTACCTTAACCCACTGCTATTTAAAAAAATCCCGGTGCACTGACCTCCAGTCTTCTGCATATCTTTCTTTCTACAGAGTTAAAAAATTGTGTGATATACGGGGGCGCCTGGGTGGCTCAGTCGGTTAAGCTTCCTACTCTTGGTTTCAGCTCAGGTCATGATCTCAGGGTCTTGAGATCGAGTCCCGCATCGGGCTCTGCGCTCAGCGCAGAGACTGCTTGAGATTCTCTTTCTCCCTTTCCTTGTGCTTCTTCCTACCATGGGCATGTGTGTGCGTACTTTCTCTCTCTCTCTATCAAGTAAATAAATAAAACCTTAACATCTTCTGCCACACCCCCTCTCCCCAGTGTTATTGCCTGAGGGATCCCCCACATGGCTGCAGAGTCTTCCAGTGACCTCTCCAGCTGGAGATGGTCAGTGTGTTGAGCTGAAGGAAGGGGTGTCTAGCGTGGAGGCGGGGTCATGGAATGGTCTCAGGAGGCCCTGGTTTTCTGTGGGGATGAAAGATGCTAACCTTGCCCCTTTCTCTGTTCCCTCCCACAGGTGGCTGCCCCCTGCCTTCCTCCATCCAGCCATGAATTGGTGGTGAGTGACAGTCCCTTCCCTACCCTGCTGGTCTCTTTCCCCTCTTTCTTCAGCTCCTTCGTTACTGCTGCCTTTAGACCTAAGCATGCTGCTAGCCCCGGAGGGTGCTGGGCCATTAGGTAAGGGGGGGGGGACACTTCCCGAGGCTGAAGCTGGACTGGGAGGAAATGAGTCATGAGGTCCGGGGGGGGGGGATGCAGGGCCTCCTATTTCAATTTGAGACTGAAGTCCTTGGAAAAACCCATAAAAGGGCATCTCGCATGCCTCTGGGCCTGGCCAGTGCCTGTTGCTCTGGGGCTTCCAGGACCAGGGGACGACGGCACCTTCTACCTGCCAGGACCAGATACCCTTCGGCTGGAGGAAAGGGAACGGATAGCCTGACCCACAGAGTTCGCCTGCCTGGGCAGTGGCTCACATTCAGGTGGCCCGTTGCACCTCTAAGCCCCTTGGCTGACTCTGCTTTTCTGCTCTGTCTCCGTGTCTCCCACCCCTGCCTCCCCCAGCAGGCTTCCAGAAAATGTGGATAGGGGCAGGACACCTATGAGTTGTGGGCTGTGGGGAGAGGGGCCTGTTCCGGACGGATCCCAGCTGGGCTGATTTGGAACACTGGGAACTTTTCCTCCTGGCCCTCTCAGGGCCTTCTCACCCTCCCAAGGCCCCCCCTGCTCCCCAGCCCAGCACTGGAGCGGGGCAGGGCCCTGGAGGCTGGAGGGGAGGGGTCTGCGTGAGTACAGGTGCATCCGTGTGTGTTTGTGTGTGGGTGGGGGGAGGGGTGTCCTATGGGCATCTAGGACAGAGGGCCCCTATGGGCACAATCTGATTTGCTGATACAGAGGAGCCTCTGATGATACCGGTGTGGGTGGGAGTCTGGGGGAGGGGGCCAGGATGTCCTGGTAGTTTCAGGCCTCTGCACACTCGCTCAGCCTGGATACCGGAATCTCTGTCAGGCTACCTGGTCTTTTCTTTCCCTCCAACACCTATTTGCCCAGCGACAGTGGACAAGTCCTGAGATCTTTCTGGACCCCAGCTTCCCTTACTGTCAAGGAGAGGGGTTGCTCCAGATGCTCCCAAGGCCTTCTCGGTGCTGAGAAGTGTCCCCTCCACCGAGGGTTGTTGCTGGAATGAAATAACGTTTGTAAAAGTGCTCGTGACTCAGCCACCTCGGGCCCACGGCCGTGTCCCTGGCCTCTGCAGCCCTGGCCCAGGCCCTGCCAGGCTATTTCTGTTCCTCGCAGAGGCCCCTCCTCCCTGGTCTCACTGGGCTCAGACCCTTCTGGGCCTCAGCTCTGCCCGGCTGTGCCGCTCCAGATGTGACGTGTTCTTTGCACAGAGCCTAGTCGCAAGGCCATCTGACAACAGAGGGGGTGGGTGGGGTGAGGCCGGGGTGCAGGCCTGGTTTGCAACTGCCGTTAAGAAGTCACTCTGGGATTGTGGAGGGTCACCATGGTGGGCGGGCGGGGGTGGGGGTGGGGGAAGCGGGGAACATAAGTCTCATCATTTCAACCCAACTGCCACCTCGCCTCTGAGAACAGAATGTCCTTGGCTGCTCTAGGATAGTTGGGGGGTCTGGGCTTTAGGGATCTCCAGGCGGAAGCCAGATTCCTGGCCACTTGGAGTCTTGTGAGCTTTGTTTACGTGAGGAAAGGTCAGGGGTTGGAACAAAAGGGAAGAGGTTGGCATTCCAGCTGGAAGGGCTGCAGTTAGATACCAGAAGGAACTCCTACCTGAGTGAGGCTGTGGAATCTTCCTGTCCCTGTGATGTGCCCCACCTGCTCAGGAGGCTCTGACCTTCCTGGAGGCTGGGTCAACCACCCGGTGGTGGAATGGTTGACACACCAGATTGTGCTCCCCGAGGCTTCCCACCTAAATCAGAACCGCTCCCCCCCGAACCTCCGTGGTCAAGAGTGAGGGGGTTAGACTCCCTCCCTTTGGATCCTGGCCCCCCCCTCTCCGCTGTGTGACCTTGGACACATTGTTTAACCTCTCTGAACCTCAGTTTCCCCTCTGCAGATAGGGAGCTTGTAATAGCAGCTACCCTATAAGGTGGTTAGGGAGAATATAAAGTAAATGAGTGTATTTTTTTTAAAGATTTTATTTATTTGAGAGAGAGAGAGAGAGAGAGCGCACATGAGAGAGCACAAGTAGGTAGGAGCGGGAGAGGGAGAAGCAGACTCCCCGCTGAGCAGGGAGCCCACATGGCCCAGACAGAGACAGCACCCCCACATCTAGCCCCCCCTCTACCTAAGCCCAGGACAAAATCTTTGGCTTTTTTTTTTTTTTTTAAAGATTTTTATTTGTGAGAGAGCAAGAGGGAGAGGGAGAGGGAGAAACAGACTCGCCGCAGAGCAGGGAGCTGGATGCAGGGCTTGATCCCAGGGCCTCGGGATCATGACCTGAGCCGAAGGCAGATGATTACCCGACTGAGCCACCCAGGCGCCCCGTGAATGTATTTATTTAATCCATATTCAGGGCCCTCCAAGGCCTGCCCATCTGATTTGGGGTAAAAGTCCAGGTTCTTGCATTGGCCTGTACCACCCTACAGGACGGCTTTGCCCTCTGACATCTCCTTCTAGAAGCTCTCTCCTTCACTCGGCGTCAGATACCTGGTCTTCTTGCTGGTCCTTAAACACAGCAGGCATGATGCTGCTTCAGGACCGCTGTTGTGTTCCTCCCGGCTGGGAGCCCATTCCCACGGATATCTTCTAGGCGAGGCTCTTTCCCTCCCACAGGTGTTCACGCAAGTGTGAGATTTCCCTTCCCCCAGCAGCCCCATCTCCCTCCCTGCTCTCCTTGTCCCTCCACGTCTCACGACCCGGTACACGGTGCGTCTCACTTACGGGGCTCCCCCCATACTAGCATGTCAGCCTGTGTGGACAGGGACTCACTGCTGTATCCCCACCCTCCGGCACATAGTAGGCGGTCACCTACTCGGTGTGCGTTCACCGAGTGGCTGGAAGAAAGGCGTTCAGCCGGACGCCTGGTGCGGATTAGGGGCTCAGCAAGTGGGACTGCTGTGGCCCCTTGTTGCCCCGCTTGCCCATGGGCAGGGGTCTGTCTATTCGGGGGGGGGGTTGGGCCTGGGCCAGAAGCTCTGCTGTCCTCCCTAGGGAGTGGGAAAGTGGCCCAGGGGAAACCGGGAGAAAGTTTGGCTTCCCCCAGAGAGCACTCAGCACCTGTTTCCTCAAGGCAGGCGAGGCAAGTGCTTTGAGCAGGTTCACAAGAGGGAGGAAAGGGCGGGTTATATTTTTCCTTCCTTTTCCATTTGCTGCCTCCCCTTCAGCCTCGGCAGAGCTGGTCTCTGGTGTCCCTGCCCCCTTCCCTCGGGCTTCACACAGTGTATGCCTGTCTGTTGCAGTTTCCCCAGGTCTCGGGGGGTCCCAGCTCTCCCTCTGGCCTCTTAGTCATCTTGCTTCGATCTTACCCCCCTGGGATCGGGAGCCCGCGTCCTGGGCACAGGATTTCTGCCTGGCGTGTTCTCCAGCCTGTGCCAGGCCAGCCAGGGCAAAGTGGCTTAATCTTCAACCCGTGTTTTCATCTTACTCAACAGATGTTGCCCAAGGCCTTGGGTAGAAGGGTCCTAGGGTCACCTCCCTCCTGTGGGGTCCCCCGGTGGGGGCAGGATGAAGAGGGGAGAGGGCTTGTTTGCCACGGACACTCCTGATCCTTGGAAATTGCTGAAGCAGCTTTTCTCAACTTCTGAAAAATAAAGAGTCAAAAGGAATTTCCCGAGGGTGATAGCCAAGTGGAGTGGCCGCCGAGGTCGGCTGGATGGTGAGCCCTCCTGCACACACAGCCTGGCACCCAGGAGACTTGCGCTGGGGACACAAGGGGGTGCAAGTGCTTCTCCTCACGCAGACCAGCCCCTCGGCAGGTGCTCAGAATGTCCTTGTGGGATGAACTGGAGGTCGGGTGGGGAGTTTGTGAGGGCAGGAGGGAAGAGGTGAATGGGACAATGGGAATGCCAGGCCAGATTCACCCATATTAGCGATCAGAGCAATGGGGAGACGTTAACCCTTGTATGGAACTTTCTTTCTGCCAAACATGGTTCGGAAAGCTTTGCAAAAATAAACTCATTTATTCTGCAGGACAACACAGCAAGAGAGATGCTGTGATTATCCCAATGTTACAGATGAGGAACTGAGGCCACAGGCCCCAGAGATATTCAGAGAGGGAGCTGGGATTTTGACTCAGTAGTCCAGCACTGTTGTCCACCCTCCTAACCATCAGTCATGAGAAATGTCATTCACTTGCATGACACCTGCAGTTTTCAAAGCCCTTCCCCTGACATCGGGCCATGGGGAACCCGCAGTGGATTGTATGAAAGTCTGGGCACGTGTGAGAGACACCTGGGTAGGCCGAGGAACAATGTGGGGCTCAGAAAGGCTAGGTGACCTGCTCATGGTCCCGCAGTATTCGGGGGGTGGGGGGTGGCGTGCTGGGTCAGGAGTGGGGGTTTAGATTCCTGGTTCTGCTTTCTCCCCAGGATCGCCTAGAGGCTTGCTGCTGATGTAAATGCTGGATGCAGCCAGGTGGACTTTTCTGGGATTTCCTCTCCTTTCCTTTCCTTCCTTTCTCCCTCCCTTCATTTATTTGAAGTAAAGTCGACACACAATGTTACATTAGTTTCATGTGTTGGGATTTCTTTTTCTAAACAGCTCCAACCACAAGTGTACCTAGCTAGCTTAGGGCCTGGGATTTAGGACAGGAATAACAGGACTTTAGACACCATTTGGTCCAGTCCTGCTCTGTTTCAGGTGAAATGGAGGCCCTGAAAATTTTTTTTTGACTTGAGTGTATTTTTACTGTGGTAAAATACAAATAACATAAAATTAACCATCTTAACCATTTTTGAATGCACAGTCATGGTATTAAGTTCATTTCTGTCCTTGTATAAGTGTCACCCATCCTACTCCAGAACCCTTGTCATCTTGTAAAACAAAACTCTACCCATTTAACAAGAGCTCTGCCCTCCCCTTCCCCAGTCCCTGCCATCCACCATT